ACAAAAATCTGTGTGAGTAAAGAGAAATGCTTAAGTCAAGCTTTTGTTTAATGCAATCGATTTTTACATATGTAGGAATTTGCTTGGGGGAGTTTGTTTGTTTGTTTTGTTCGTCTGTTTTGTTACTCTGAGATAGGTCTTACTACCCCCCATACTGGCCTCGTATTCCTTGTGTATCCCAGGCTGGTCTTGAATTCACAATCTTCCTGCCTCAACCTCCCAGAATGCTGAGATTATTCATGTAAATAAGATGTTTTCAAGGATAAAACAATCTAGAATATTAATTTCAAATATTACATTCTTACTAAAACAACAATTAGAAAATAAGGAAACACTTCCATTGGGTTAAACCAAAACTTGTACTACTTCCATGGGTTTGTGGCAGTCATTGGTCTCTAGACACAACCAGAGCAGGGTGACAGTGGTTGTCACCAATGTTTAGTATGCAAGAAGACGATGGATGAGACAGGAACTAAACTCTCCTGGGCAGATGAAACACATAAATTACATAGATCTAGGATCATTCTTCTTTTACATGGTCTGCCTGAGTGGCTAGTTCATATCAGAATAGTAAGAGATTTATGATTTTCCATTTTCCCATTATGCTTACCAGACAAAACAAAGGATGTAGCTCATTCATATGGGAAAAAGTTCCCACACCACACAAATCAAGTATAGTGTGAAGCCAAATGCCACTGAGGCTACTGACCTGCGTGTGTGTGCCAATTTATGTGTCTAGGTGTGGACAACAATTCTCATCTCTTGGGATTATCTTGAGAATTAAATGGTGCAGTGTCTGGTAGAGTACTTGTAAAGAGGACATCTGGTAAGTGGTAGGTTTTTTCCATTCCAAATCTCTCTCTCTCTCTCTCTCTCTCTCTCTCTCTCTCTCTCTCTCTCTCTGTCTTTCTCTGTCTCTCTGTCTCTCTCTGTCTCTCTCTCTGTCTCTGTCTCTCTCTGTCTCTCTCTGTCTCTGTCTCTCTCTCTCTCTCTCTCTCTCTCTCTCTCTCTCTCTCTCTCTCTCTCTGGTAGAACTGGGGGTTGAACTCATACCCTTGCCAGGGAAGCACTTATTCTACTGAGCCATCTCCCCAGCCCCCTTCAAAATGAGTATTTTGGGAAGATTAATGATATACCTTTTTTTTGTAATAACTTTTTAATATTAAAAAAATACATAAAATTTGTAGGGAAAAGAGATACAGGCATGGATGAACAAAGCTGTGTATTAGCAATATTAATACGAACTACAGATTATCATAAATTAATACTGAACTGAATCTCAAGATAATCACTAAGAACACAGCTTGGAAAAATACAGCAAAAGAAACAAACAGCCAGGTGAGGTGGCACGTGGTTGGAAAAACCAGCCTTCTTCAAAGGCTGAGGCAAGATCACAAAGTTTGAACCCAGCCTGGATTTGAGATTGTCTCAAAAAAAAAAAAAAAATTAATCAGGCTTGGGATGTAGCTCGGCGTGAAGGATCTGGGTTCAATTTCCTGTATTAAAAGGAAATAAAAATCTAACAGAAAAATGTCTATTAACATTAAGAAAGTAATGGAAAGCAAACAGACAAAAAGTCAAGAGATACAGGAAACTAACTTGGATAACTGTACTGTTGATTTCTTCTTGTCTATTGAAAGGAATAGTTAATAATTTTTTTTTAATTTTTAATTATTTAGCACAGGGTCTCACTATGCAGCTCAGACTCATAGCGATCCTCCTGCTTTTGGTCTCCCCAGAACTGGGATTACAGGAATCATGCCCAGTCTCAGTGGGCTCAGTGTGCTTGAGGGTGGGACTGGAACTGCATGTGGTGCTGGGGATCAACCCCAGTCCCTACACTTGCTGAAGCAGGTGCTTAGTCTGCTGAACTATCTCACCGGCCCTAATGCTTAAATTTTTTTTTTTGACCAATTTTGCACACTTATATCTGGTAACTGGAGAAACTAATTTAAAGACAACAATACACAATATAATAATCATTGTTGAATTCCTATCGTTTTGTTTTGAAATTGTGTCTTTTTTAAAACTATTTTTTATTCTCTTAAAAAAAGCGATGTAGGAAACAAATCAGCAAAGTGGCATATGTAAAACCTCTTTTCAGCAATTACATTAAGTGTAAATGCATCATATATCCTAATTCAAAAAGCAGAGACTGACAAAATGTATTAAAAAACCATGATTCAACTATCTACTGTTCATAAGAGACACACTTAAAAGTCAAAACACAAAGGTTTAAAATAAAATAGAAATTTACATAGTCATAATAAAACTATTTTTTCCCAGTAATCTTTATTTCAGTAAATACCACCACTACCCATGAATTAAGTCATAAAAAGCTAAAAATACTGTTTATCCCTAGCTTAAAAACATTTTTAAAAAGGCTTTTTCATGGTTTCTTGCTACACTTAGAATTCAATTTCTTTTTTTGTTTTCTTTTTGTACATAGCTCTAGTATGTCTCTGACTATTCCTATGTTACTTCTCAGGAGCAGTACTAGACCCAAGAGAACACTGAAGCAAAACTTTTTAAATGTTTAGGAAAATAATTTCTAGTTTAGAATTCACTACCTAGTCATATGACATTGCAGAAGAGTGTTAGAAGATCTTTTCAGATATACAAGGACTTGAAAAGTTTACCACCCCAAATGCCTCCCTATAAAACTTACAAAAAATATAGTCTAGGGGATGGGGAGGATGGCTGAGTAGAATAAATGCTTCCCTGGTAAGCACAAGGGCCTGAGTTTAATCCCCGGTTCTGGGGGGGGGGGGGAAATATATATATATATATATATACACACACACACACACACACACACACACACACACATATAAAAATTTTAAAATTCCTCCTTTTCATAAGAGGAAACCAGAAGATGTATGATCAAACAACTAATGAAACATATGAAATCCAACATGATCAAACAAACTAATAAAACATATGAAATCCAATTAAATACCAATAGTAAAAAGTAGTATTTGAAGTAGTAAGTCAAATTCCTAATACTAATATGGAGGTGGAGAAGACTCAAAAGTATGCTAAGATTTTTATCTTAATTAGGTGAAAGAATAAAAATACTAGTAACTTTTTTATTAAATATATTAAACTTTTAGAGTACCAGAATAGGCCTAGAGCATAGAACTTTCAAACTACAGAGTAAAATGGGCTGGGGAGATAGATCAGTGGCAAGTGCCTGCCTGGCAAGCACAAGGTCCTGAGTTCAACTCCCAGTTCCAAAATCAAAACAAACTACAGAATAAAAATGGAGTAAAAACATTGATCAACTGGAACAGAAAGTATAAATAGCAAAAAAAAAAATTAAATGAAAACTACAAGTAGAAAACATGATAGCATATTAAATTATTTTATAACAAATTAAAAAAAATTCAAGTTGGGTGTGGTAGTGTACACCTACATTCCGGCTCTCTGGGAGGCTGAGGCCGAAGGATGGATGGAGTCTAGCATAGGCAACTTGAGACTTACTTTCAAAATAAAAATGCAAAAAAGGGCTTGCGATATAGCTTAATATAAAAGCACTAGGTCTAATCTCTAGTACTGAAAAACGAAACAAAACAAAACGAAGCACACTTATTATTTTATAGTACACAAAATATGCAGAAAAAACAAGAAAAACCCCACCAGGTATGGTGGTGTACTACTGTAATTCCAGTACCTGAGAGGCTATGCAAGCCAGGAGGATCACAGTGAATTTTGAGGCCAGCGTGGGCTAAAAGGTGAGTTCAAGGTCAGCTTGAACTGC